CAGGAGCTCTGATTTCCTCACAAGCTGCCCCTTGCTTTTGCTGCACTTCATTTGCTGATTTGGAAGGTTTTCTTCTGTCTGCAGTGAGGGAGCGAGCCCTCGGGTGGATTTACTCTGAAAATGGAGAAAGCCTGCAGCACACTTTTCTTGCCTTAGGCCACAGCGCCTTGGCAGTCAGGTACAGGGAGTGAGCTGGGATGGTCACAGGAGCGCACACACGGGCATCAGCCTTTGATAACAACTGGAAGCAGCATCACAAAGCAGGCTTTGGGGTCAGTAACAGGTGTTCTCAGGGCTCCAGAGGCAAAGCTAGTGAGAACCCGGAGGGATTACCCATGATTCGGAGGTGAGGGTGGAGATTAGAGGACTGGCTGGCTAAGCAAACATTGCCAGAGTAGCCCAGGGCATCTTGTCAAAGTCGTTTTTTTACAGTCTGCATTTCCAGTCTCCCTCTCTTTCACCAACTACCCACTGAGGCCACTCTGCTCCATGGAATGTACTCTTTCCACTCACCTCTAGAATTCCTCTTCTTTATCAAGTTAATTCCTGCTGTTCCCCAACCTTAACTAAATCTCAGTCTCCTCCATGGAATTGGCCTTGACACTTCCAGACACTCTTATCTGATGGCTCTCATTACCTGATACGATCACCTGAAATTATGGACTGTCTAATGACACCTCTTATACTAGGGCCTTGCAGGAGAGCAAACATGCACTGGTTCTACCTGTATAGCCCCCTTTATTTCTTCTTTTGCTAGTAACAACATTCTCTGGGACCAAAAAAAACAACAAAAAAACCCTTCTAAGCTCTTGGTCCACGTGGCTCAGAAGGCTCAGCTCCAGGCATGGACATGTGATGCAGGCTGACCAATCAGGTATTCCATCACCCGGTCACAATAGTTGGTTAAGGAATGAGCACATGTCCTAAGTCAACCCTGCAAATGTCAGCCCCAGGACTCCTGCTGAAACTATTGAAAAAAGGGGGAAGGGAGTACTCTCTTTCAAAAGATCAACAGCCACAGAGAACCTTCCTGAAAACAAAGCTGGTTCAGAAGAGAGCAGGGCAAAATAAAGGAAGAAATCAGATGCCTGAGGACATGGTCTGGATCTCTGTACACAGCTGTGCCTGAACCTAAACTTCCCCTGGACATTTCAGTTACATGAGACAATACATCCCCTTCATTCATTCACTCAACAAATATTTAGTGAAGGCCTACTGTGTGCTAGGCACTGTTCTAGACACTAGAATACATCAGATAACATTTTTTAAAAGTTACTATGGTCTTCACTTGCAACTGAAATATCCACATCAACAACGACTTCATGTTGCTTCTTCCTGCTAACATCCTTCATGTGGGCGCCTCTTTTTTGCAAGATCATAAATTCATTAAGAATAAAGACTCCATACTGTATTTTTCTGCATCACCAACTGCGATATGTACATAGTAAATAATTAACAAATTATTTGTTAGGTCAATAAGTAAAGGCTACATGTATTGGGAATTACCACTGGTGGTGTGGATCCAAATAGCATCATTCAGAAGAAATGTCAAAGGAGATTTCCCAGTGAATTCTGACTAGAACACAAGCATGACCTGATGATGGAGTCAGTGTTAATCCACAATGAAAGGGATACATCAGAGGACTGAGCGCGTGTGCCTGCCTCTGCTCCCAGTTCATATTCCTAGAAGTGACCTAAGAAGACATGCTGCTAAGTAATACATATACAATACCGATGGAAATCAAGAAAAGGTGCAGCAATGGATCAAAAATGCTGAGCATAAGGGGAAAAGCTAAAAATATGGGCAGGAGGTAATTGGCTGTGGGATGGGAGCGGTTCTGGGAGTGGTCCAAATTTGGAATAGGAAGCCGCGGACGGCGACTGGCGAATGGAGGATTTGGAGAACCGAGGTCAGCGCGGTTGAGTGGTCCCCTCCTTCCCTGAGTGGCTCATGTTGCTGGGGAGTAGGAAGCAACGACCAGCTACAGGAGAAGGCGTGACTGTGGGCACAAAGGAGGAAGGCACAGGATGCTGCCAAAGGCATCTTGCAACTCCCAGGAGACAGGGAAACATTCAAACAGAGGAAAAGCTCCCAGCTCACTCTCCCTGGCAACACACCCTGTCTCTTCTTACAGCTAAAGCCAAGCCGATAAAAAAAAATCATCACCACTAGGTGGGTATCGAATGTCAGTCTCCAACGCGAGAGGTGGGAGAGATGGGAGTCCCCAAGTATTGCAAAAGCTGATCTAATTGTCATTTCTCTGTCTTGCTTCTCAATGGCCTTTAATACAAGTGACCACTCCCTCCCTTTGCCACGCCTGTTTTCCGAGGCTGCATGGCGCCACACTCCAGGGTTTCCCTTTAATTCCTGATGACTTCGCCTTGCTCTCCTGTGCTAGATTCTTCTGTTCGCTACAACAAACACCACACACTGAGGGGCCAAACAGAGATTAACAGGAATGCGTCATTTCCCGGTTCTGGCGGCCAGGTGGGAAATCAAGGTGCGGGCAGGTCCACGCTGCCTCCGAAGGCTCTGGGGAAGGACCCGTCCCAGGCCTCTCTCCCGGTCCTGGTAGTACTTTGGTTTGTGGCAGCTTAACTCCAAGCTTCACGTAGAGTTTCCCCTTTGTGTGTGTCTATTTCCAAATTTCCCCTTTTTATAAAGACACCAGTTATAATGAATTAGGGGCGCACCCCCCTCCAGTATGACCTCGTCCTAACTATTCACAGCTACAACTACCTTATTTCCAAATAAGGACACATTCTGAGGTACTGGGGGTTGGGACTTCAACATGTGAACCTGAGGGGGCACAATTCAACTGTAACAATTCTCCTCAACCATGGGCTAAATGATGGGGTGCTCTAGGGCATGGGTCTGCCTTCTTTCCCTTCTGTATCTATACTCTTTCTCTATGTTTTCATCAAGTCTGATGGTTTTAAATTATGCTGATGATCCTGACTTTATCTCCACTACTGACCTCTCCCTGGAGGTATAGCCAACTGGCTGCCTAGCACTTGCATACCTAATAGGGATCTCAAAATTACTGCATCCAAACAGATTTAATGATTTTCCCAACCACAGCCCCACTCCAACAAACCAGTTCTCCCCATATCAAAAACTGTAGTGCCACCAATCCAGTTGCTCAAATAAAAAACTGAGGGGCCATCCTCGATCCCCCCTTTCCCTTATGCTCCATTATACATCCTGTTCTGCATTCAAAATATATAGAACACACCCATTTCTCTCCACCCAAGACACATCCAAGTCCGAGCCATCAGCACTTTGGCCAGAACTAAATCCGAAGGCCCACACCTGGTCCCTCTTGTGCCTTTCGATCCACTCTCAACATCATCCAGTGTTGTTGTGTTAAAATATGAATCAGACCATGTCACTCAGGAGCTTAGAATCCTAAAATGCCATTTTTTTAATCCTCACCTGACGATATGTTTTTATTGATTTTTTTTTAGAGAGGATGAGAGAGAGAGAGATCGGTTGCCGCCTGTACGTGTCCTGACTAGGGAATCAACCCTGCATCCCTTTGGTGTACAGGACAATGCTCCAACGTGAGGCACCCAGCCAGGGCTAAAATGCCATTTTTTAGAATCAACTACATACCCCTTACCACAACCTGCAAGGCTCTTTCAACAAGGTCTGCGCTGACTCTGGTCCCATTGCTCCACTTGCTCCCGATGGCCCAGCCACGCTCGTGTCCCCTCAGCTTGTGAAGCACCCACACTGTCTCCTACTCCAGGTCTCTACATCACCTGCTAGCTCCCCCTCTAGGAATGCCCTGCCACAAACTCTGCACGTGCGTGTTTCCCTCATCCGTCAGCCTCCGGCTCCAACAGCAAGCCTCAGAGAAACTTCCCTGAGCCAACTTTATAGATACCCCTGCCCAGGTGCTGTCTGCCCCATCACCCTATGTCTTTTCCTCTTAGTATTTACTAAGCCTGAAGTTATCTTGTGTATGTCTGTTTACTTGTGTATTGTCTCCGCCAATCTTCACTGGAATACAAGCTCCTAGGGGACAGGATTAAGTCTGCCTGTCACCACTGTGTCTTCAGTATTACTGTACCTGAAACATAATTTGCTTCTATCTATGTGCTTAATGGATGGGTACATGAATTAAAAAATTAATAGACCCTAGAGATCATCTTATCCAAATCCCTGTATGCTGAGCACTAAATGGTGGCGCTAGCCCAGGAGTCTACACGGAAGAGAACTTCTGCCCAGAGACAGGGAGATGCCCTCCCCATCCTGCCACAATGGGCACACTTCCTGTGGCCTTCATCAAGTCCAAGTGCCCTCCCACCTGTGTGCACGACTTCACCCTCCACCACTTACCAAGTTCATAAACACCACTCATGTTCCTGATGTCACCTCCCCTTGGAATGCCTTCTCCCCTCCTGCTAAACAGCCTTCAAGATTCCCTCTATGAGCTTTTCCTGGTAGCCACTGCCACTACTCTGTACTGCGACAGGCCTTCATGCACAGCTCTACCACATTTATTCCAACACGACAGTTACGTCTAACTTTCCCCATTTTACTGTTACTACTTTGCATTAAAGTTGCTTTACGTATTTATCCACTAGTGCCTAGCGTACTGCCTCAGTGTCATATAGAGCAAAAAATTGTTGACTGCTGCCCAGCAGGCGTGGCTCAGCAGTTGAGCATCGACCTAGGATCCAGGAGATTGAGGTTTGATTCCTGGTCAGGGCACATGCCCAGGTTGCAGCTCGATCCCCAGTAGAGGGCATGCAGGAGGCAGCTGATCAATGACTCTCATCATTTGTTTCTATCTCTCTCTCCCTCTCCCTTTCTCTCTCTAAAATCAATAAATATGTTTTTTTTTAATTGTCGACTGCTAGCTATTTGCATATCACTAAACAGTTGAGAATATTTCATTATTATTCAATGGAGTGAGAGGAACTGGAACATATTAACAGTTGTTATTCTGTCAGGTATCTGACCACCATTAGTGAGCCAGTCGGAGAGGCCATTTTTAATTTGTGAAATGGAAATTTATTTCAATTAGTTATACCTTGTTTAAGATATCACATTTGAAAATGTTTATGCTATGTCCAAAATATGCACACCAATACACACATACCCAACCTTTTCACTTCCAATTTTCAATTTTTAAAAAATATGGGTTGGATTTGCAGGATATAAAAGAAATAAGAGGTAACTGGCATTACTAGGAAATTCTCCAGCTTGCACTTTTTTCAACTTAGCATAGGCACAAACCACACGTCCTGAAAAAGTGTGATGTATATTTAATGTTCACTTTTAAGGTAACCCTACATTCAATCCCATTGGCCAAAGCAAGTTGGAGCTCTTCTGGTTGCCGGCCAAATGGCTGGTGGATCAGCACCACGGACAGAAGAAAGTGGCTTTTTTTTTTTTTCTAATAGTAAACAAATGTAAATGCCATTTGCATGGTAGAAATGTTTGTTTTTCAACTGCACTTTACATTCAGTATTATTTTGTATTAGCTTCAGGTGTACAGCATAGTGGTAGACAATCATATACATTACAAACTGATCACCCCAATATTTCAAGTACCCACTGGGCACCTAGAGGGTATTGTGCTGAGTGAAATAAGTCAGATGGTGAAAGATGAATACAATATTTCACTTATATGGAGAATCAAAAGATCACTCTTAAGGCTGCTTATAAAACGACAGCTGTGACATCAGATGTATTACCAAGGAAAGACTGGTTTGTATGTTCCTCTGGGGGCCATGGGAAGAGAGTACCTCTGGGTTTGGGTCAAATCAGAGGATGGGGTCTTAAGAAAATAACCCCGCCTCCAAGATGTCTCCAAGTGGCACGATCTTCTATATTGATTCATCTTTTTCAACGATCTGCTTTTCTGTTCCTAAGGCACCAACCTTTTCATGCTGGAGTAACTGTAAACACCTACCTAGGAAATGTGAAGAAATTTTGTTTTTACCTGCCCAGCATCTATGATCCTTTCGCCTTTGCAAACTACCTTTCAAATAAACCAGCTGTTTAAAAAAGATACTAAGGAACTTTTGATGTTTTGGGGATTTATGATTATATTGAAGTTATATTTAAAATGGGAGTCCCTGTCTTTTAGCAATAGCTTCTGATGATTACAAATCAAAGTAATATGATGTCTGGGACCTGCTTCAAAATAATCCAGGGTCAGGTAGACGTATAGGGAAGACAAGATTGGCCACGCTTGAAATTTTCCATTAAAATATATACATGTGAGTGTACGCACACATGCATTACCGAGGCCATAAAAAACACACCAATGATTCCTGAAGATCTTATGACCCTGCACTTAAGAGATACTGAAGAGCAAGCTCTAACCTCAGCTCCACGAGCAGCCTACAGGAGGCTAGTTATGACTGCCCCATGAAGATCTGAGAGCTTGTCTTGCTCAAGTCCACGTGATGACTAGGGAGTTCTGATGTCTTGGCATGATCGCTTTCTCTGGAGTCGTAGCAGAGAAGCTTCTAAGAAATGAAACCTTTCATGTACATCCCTGATGAAAAGAAGCTGCAGGCCATCTGTAGTCGCAGGGCTGAGGCTTAGCGTAAGGAGGGGATGCCTGGTTCATGAGGATGAATCCAAGGTAAATACCTGAAGTCCTAGGTAAGAGCCAAAAGAAAACAAAAAACATTTTTAAATATAAAATGGGCTAGATAAGCAGAGGGAACCAAGGTGTAATGTCAAGCACATCAGGATGGAGAGAAACTAAAATATGATGAGGGTGGAGAAGTACGAAAGGGAGACACATGTAAATATTTCAGGGGGGTGGGTCTGTTAGGAACTTTTCACCTCAGAAGCAAATAAGGAGCCCAGAGGTGGGTAAAAATTTTGAAATGAAAGTGAAAGTGCTTCAAACCTGAGACTGCACACACAGGGCGGACTGTCCAGAGGGGTGGACAGTAGATGGGCCGAGAGTCAGCACGTGTGAGGCACTGCTCCGCGCCTGGCACTCGGTGCTCACAGGAGCCTGCAGCGCTGAGCTGACCGTCCAGAGGAGGGCCAGAGGGACCTGCCAGTCACCTGAAGGCACGACCATCTCGCCTGTTTCATTTCTGCGGGAAGTGTGGCCTCCGGCCTGCCCAGTCCCCGCCGCTCCCTACTGTCCACCTCCTTCGCCCAGTTACCTGCCCGGCCCGAAGGTTTTCAGTTTGTGGCATCTGGTCTCCAATGTCCCTGGGCTGCTTGTGACGCTCGCCTCTTAAAACCGCCAAATGGCCCAAAGACTGTGTAAAAGGCCCTGTTCTAGACTGACTCGAACCCTGGGCGGCCCCGGCAATGACATGTTACCGGGCTGAGCTCTGGATGTCCTCCCGTCCTCCACGGCCTCGACTCTCAAGTGGCGACCCAACCGCTTTGCAGCATTTCCGTGAGGTAAGGAGCGCTCCCTCCCGCTCTGCGCCCCGTCCCCAGCTCCCTCCCGCTCTGCGCCCCATCCCCAGCTCACTCCTNAATTTTTAAAAAATATGGGTTGGATTTGCAGGATATAAAAGAAATAAGAGGTAACTGGCATTACTAGGAAATTCTCCAGCTTGCACTTTTTTCAACTTAGCATAGGCACAAACCACACGTCCTGAAAAAGTGTGATGTATATTTAATGTTCACTTTTAAGGTAACCCTACATTCAATCCCATTGGCCAAAGCAAGTTGGAGCTCTTCTGGTTGCCGGCCAAATGGCTGGTGGATCAGCACCACGGACAGAAGAAAGTGGCTTTTTTTTTTTTTCTAATAGTAAACAAATGTAAATGCCATTTGCATGGTAGAAATGTTTGTTTTTCAACTGCACTTTACATTCAGTATTATTTTGTATTAGCTTCAGGTGTACAGCATAGTGGTAGACAATCATATACATTACAAACTGATCACCCCAATATTTCAAGTACCCACTGGGCACCTAGAGGGTATTGTGCTGAGTGAAATAAGTCAGATGGTGAAAGATGAATACAATATTTCACTTATATGGAGAATCAAAAGATCACTCTTAAGGCTGCTTATAAAACGACAGCTGTGACATCAGATGTATTACCAAGGAAAGACTGGTTTGTATGTTCCTCTGGGGGCCATGGGAAGAGAGTACCTCTGGGTTTGGGTCAAATCAGAGGATGGGGTCTTAAGAAAATAACCCCGCCTCCAAGATGTCTCCAAGTGGCACGATCTTCTATATTGATTCATCTTTTTCAACGATCTGCTTTTCTGTTCCTAAGGCACCAACCTTTTCATGCTGGAGTAACTGTAAACACCTACCTAGGAAATGTGAAGAAATTTTGTTTTTACCTGCCCAGCATCTATGATCCTTTCGCCTTTGCAAACTACCTTTCAAATAAACCAGCTGTTTAAAAAAGATACTAAGGAACTTTTGATGTTTTGGGGATTTATGATTATATTGAAGTTATATTTAAAATGGGAGTCCCTGTCTTTTAGCAATAGCTTCTGATGATTACAAATCAAAGTAATATGATGTCTGGGACCTGCTTCAAAATAATCCAGGGTCAGGTAGACGTATAGGGAAGACAAGATTGGCCACGCTTGAAATTTTCCATTAAAATATATACATGTGAGTGTACGCACACATGCATTACCGAGGCCATAAAAAACACACCAATGATTCCTGAAGATCTTATGACCCTGCACTTAAGAGATACTGAAGAGCAAGCTCTAACCTCAGCTCCACGAGCAGCCTACAGGAGGCTAGTTATGACTGCCCCATGAAGATCTGAGAGCTTGTCTTGCTCAAGTCCACGTGATGACTAGGGAGTTCTGATGTCTTGGCATGATCGCTTTCTCTGGAGTCGTAGCAGAGAAGCTTCTAAGAAATGAAACCTTTCATGTACATCCCTGATGAAAAGAAGCTGCAGGCCATCTGTAGTCGCAGGGCTGAGGCTTAGCGTAAGGAGGGGATGCCTGGTTCATGAGGATGAATCCAAGGTAAATACCTGAAGTCCTAGGTAAGAGCCAAAAGAAAACAAAAAACATTTTTAAATATAAAATGGGCTAGATAAGCAGAGGGAACCAAGGTGTAATGTCAAGCACATCAGGATGGAGAGAAACTAAAATATGATGAGGGTGGAGAAGTACGAAAGGGAGACACATGTAAATATTTCAGGGGGGTGGGTCTGTTAGGAACTTTTCACCTCAGAAGCAAATAAGGAGCCCAGAGGTGGGTAAAAATTTTGAAATGAAAGTGAAAGTGCTTCAAACCTGAGACTGCACACACAGGGCGGACTGTCCAGAGGGGTGGACAGTAGATGGGCCGAGAGTCAGCACGTGTGAGGCACTGCTCCGCGCCTGGCACTCGGTGCTCACAGGAGCCTGCAGCGCTGAGCTGACCGTCCAGAGGAGGGCCAGAGGGACCTGCCAGTCACCTGAAGGCACGACCATCTCGCCTGTTTCATTTCTGCGGGAAGTGTGGCCTCCGGCCTGCCCAGTCCCCGCCGCTCCCTACTGTCCACCTCCTTCGCCCAGTTACCTGCCCGGCCCGAAGGTTTTCAGTTTGTGGCATCTGGTCTCCAATGTCCCTGGGCTGCTTGTGACGCTCGCCTCTTAAAACCGCCAAATGGCCCAAAGACTGTGTAAAAGGCCCTGTTCTAGACTGACTCGAACCCTGGGCGGCCCCGGCAATGACATGTTACCGGGCTGAGCTCTGGATGTCCTCCCGTCCTCCACGGCCTCGACTCTCAAGTGGCGACCCAACCGCTTTGCAGCATTTCCGTGAGGTAAGGAGCGCTCCCTCCCGCTCTGCGCCCCGTCCCCAGCTCCCTCCCGCTCTGCGCCCCATCCCCAGCTCACTCCTGCTCTGCACCCCGTCCCCGGTTCCCCCCTGCTCTGCACCCCTCCCCGGCTCACTCCTGCTCTGCGCCCCGTCCCAGCTCACTCCTGCTCTGCACCCCTCCCCGGCTCACTCCTGCTCTGCACCCCTCCCCGGCTCACTCCTGCTCTGCGCCCCGTCCCCAGCTCACTCCTGCTCTGCGCCCCTCCCCGGCTCCCCCCTGCNGACCCAACCGCTTTGCAGCATTTCCGTGAGGTAAGGAGCGCTCCCTCCCGCTCTGCGCCCCGTCCCCAGCTCCCTCCCGCTCTGCGCCCCATCCCCAGCTCACTCCTGCTCTGCACCCCGTCCCCGGTTCCCCCCTGCTCTGCACCCCTCCCCGGCTCACTCCTGCTCTGCGCCCCGTCCCAGCTCACTCCCGCTCTGCACCCCTCCCCGGCTCACTCCTGCTCTGCACCCCGTCCCCAGCTCAATCCTGCTCTGCGCCCCGTCCCCAGCTCACTCCTGCTCTGCACCCCGTCCCCAGCTCACTCCTGCTCTGCACCCTGTCCCCAGCTCACTCCTGCTCTGCACCCCTCCCCGGCTCACTCCTGCTCTGCGCCCAGTCCCCAGCTCACTCCTGCTCTGCGCCCCTCCCCGGCTCCCCCCTGCTCTGCACCCAGTCCTGGGCTCCCCCCTGCTCTGCACCCCTCCCCGGCTCACTCCTGCTC